GGGAATTAAATTTTGAAAATTGTGTAAAATTTCCGGGCACCCCCCCCCCCCCTTTTTTTGAGGAAAGCGTGGCTTTCAATTTGGGAAATCCCTGCGTTAGTACAGTAGCTTTTTTGTAAATACACGAAAGTATCAAGTTTCTGTTCACCTGTTTCATACTGAGATGTGACCGTGGTATCTTTACACGTGCCGGAAACGCACGACTTCATGCGCCACAGTCCGATGTTGGTCTCCACGACGCTGTTGGTGGTGCTGTAAGTCATCCAGTTGGTCGTGGCCCATCCAGCGATGTGGATGGCTGTGCCCACAATCAGCACGATGAGGGCCACCTTGGACCACCCGGAAGCTGGTCCGCACATGTTGAGCTGTTTTATCGTTCAGGTCTTTCTTGTAAGGTGCTCCTAAATGACGTTTCGGGATAAACCTAGATTTAAAAGAGAGAGAAAGAGATGAGAAAAATATATTATTATGTACCGACACATGAAGAAAAATGCAAAAAAGATTTGTGAATAGATGTACTGTACCAGTTTGTACAGAAGTTTACACATGTGAACATGGGAGCCCGCAGGCAGGGGCAAGGTGGGGCACTTGCCCCCCCCCCCTGGATTGATTGGATAAAAAAAATTTAGACAAAAATAGACAAAAAATGTATTAAAGTAAAGAGAAAATAAAGAGAAAGTAACTAAGCTGATGTCCTGTCCGTTCGTATAATTTTTTTTAAATCCCACATATTATTACCATCAATTTTTTTTTTTTTTTTTTAAATGTTTTTTTGTTGATGTTGTATTTCCTTTTAATAGCATGCCTCGCTGTTGACCAAATACTTCTTTTTTTTTTTTTTTAAATGGATCAAATCATTAAATTTTTCGTTGGTGTAACTCCCAAGTCTCTCAGTAGCTCCCACGTCTTTCAGTAGCTCCCAAGTCTCTCAGTGGCTCCCACGTCTCTCAGTAGCTCCTCCACCTGGAGCCCTCCACGGCGCCTCGGTAAGAGATGGGCGTCACGCCACGAGACGCGGGGCCTCGTTTCTGCAGCGGCATGGGGGACACGACGCTGCGCCTGCGCGTGCCATAATAATCGTCCGAGTCGTCGTCCTCCCGGTCATTGTCGTTGAAGCTGTCGGGGATCATCAGGGTCCCGGCGATGAGGATCAGGGTCATGGCTATGACGGTGAGCCCAAGGGAGTAAGACACAACGTAGGGGTCTGGGATCGTCGTGATGAAGATCACCATCCCAACAAAACTGCAGCCACCTGTGGGGATGCAAACATTCATAATTAGGTCATATTGGTCCAAGGTCTTGTAAATATTGCTAGTAGCCTAGTTAGACATTAAAGAAATCTCCCATGATGCAATATTCTTTATGTAAGTCTATGAGCTTTGAGTTAATCTTAAACATATTTTTAAAGGCGTCTAAATTGTTCACTGAAGAAGGCTTTTTTTTGGGCGACACGTTTATTGGTTCGTGCTTTCTTCAACCCCCACCCACTCCCCCCCCCCCCCCCCGACCCTGGTTTTTTTTTCCCCACTTTCCAAACACCCAAAAAAATTATTAAAACTTTTTTTTTATTTTT